CTTGTGCTCCTCAGTCCTCCAGCAGCACACCCTCTCACTCTCAGCTCCTTGCGCCTCTTGCTCCCAGCTCCTCACACTCGCACCACAAACTGAAGTGAGCTCCTTTTAAAACCCAGGTGCCCTGATTAGCCTGCCTTAATTGATTCTAGCAGCTTCTTCTTAATTGGCTCCAGGTGTCCTAATTAGCCTGTCTGCCTTAACTGGTTCTAGCAGGTTCCTGATTACTCTAGTGCAGCCCCTGCTCTGGTCACTCAGGGAACAGAAAACTACTCATCCAGTGACCAGTATATTTGCCCTCTACCAGACTCCTGTACCCCACTGGTCTGGGTCTGTCACAGGACACATTTAGAGAAACTTATTGATTCTGAAGAAATTTTGTTTAATCCCCCCTCCCCCGCCACCACCATGACACAAAGCACTTTGATCACGCTGAAATGGCCCATTTTGACATTTTTTGGAGTAGCATGTTTCCATTTTTCATTTCAAAATAACTCTTTGGCAGAAAATTCATGGTGTTTAAATGATTTTTTTAAAAAGTTTTTAAATCCTAACAAAACGTTTTTATTTTATCAAAACAAAACGTTTCAATCAACCCCAAACCATTTTTTCTGAATTTAGTTCACAGGAAATTTCAATATTTTGGTGTTCATTCCATTTCAGAATGGAACAAAATCATGGCATTTCTGGTTCACACCCAGCGGCACTGAGCATCATTCTCCCAGTTTTATAGTTTCCCTCCATCTCCAGGCTGGGGTAATAATAAATAAAACTGCATTGAGGTGTTTGGAGGGTTCATTAATTAATGTTGTGACAGGGCTTTGAAAATGAAAAGCATGAAATGGGATTAATATTATTATTGCAAAGATCTAGACATGGCCCCATCCTAACCCTGCACACTCCCCGCACCCTTGACCCTTTGGCAGGGCATGGATTAGCCACTTCCTTATCTGTGGGAGGAAAGCAAGTTGGGGGTGTATTTAATGACAGCACACTTGGCCCTTATGAAGGTCTCTTGCCAAAGGTGGGTGAGCATTAGAGTTCAGCTATGAACTTTGCACCTTAGGCCGTCCCTGCAGAGAACAATGATGGGCAGACACCAAGGTCTTCAAGGGAAAGTGAACCATCTCCACGTAGGACACAGTAGCTAAACGTGGGCTGGAAACAGACATCCTGGTTCAAATGCTGGGGGATCAGAGGCAGATGACTGAGACAGCAAAACACAATTTTGCATTTTTCTTGATCAGTGAGGAAGTTGGTCATTTGCCCAACCAAAAATTAGATTTGCAGGGATGGGTCATGGGGAAAAATCGGGAAGAAGCCAGCAAGGGCCAAAATGGTGATTAGAGGATATTAAAAATGACAAGTACCTGGAGCAGACACCGGCAAGGCAGCTGTGTCAGGTGCTGGAGAAGCTTTTGCCCATGTTTTACAGGCTTGCTATGTTTAGAGAGTGGATGAAGGGATCGGCTCGCCGAGGGGAAGGGAAGATGAGGAAGAGAGGAGGGAGAGAGGCTCACTGGGCAGAAGAGTGAACTGAGCCAGTGGCAGTGGTAGGGAAAGGTGGGAACTAACAGCCAACAGCAACACAGCAAATGAGACAAGAGATCCTAGGCTGCAGCTAAGGAGACCTTGTCACAACAGAGGACAAGGGGTTCAAACGTGGCCTTAAGCCACCTCCCCGCCCCCAGGTCCTGGGCCATTCCTTCAGTGTAAGATAGACCTGCCTGAGGGTCACTCTAACGTGCACCTGCTGCAATGCCTGACAGCACCAGGATGCGGGGATGCCTAGGCCACACCCCTATTGCTCTGACCACACCCCCTAGGCGAGCTGCAGGGAGTGGGGGCTTAGAAGCCGCTCAGGGCAGAGCAGCCACAGTGCGACCAGTAAGGTTGCCAACCCTCCGGGATTGTCCTGGAGTCTCCAGGAATTAAAGATGAATCTTTAATGAAAGATTATGTCATGTGATGAAACCTCCAGGAACACTTCCAACTAAAACTGGCAACCCTACAGCCCAGGATTGGAGCCCCAGAGGCTGCATTACAGAGCGGAGTGAAGGATGGTGCCAGAAGGCCGTGAAGGCCCTTCCCATCTGCTGCTCACAATGTGGGCAGGACCCCTGAGGCTGCTGGGCCTGGTGCCTAGGGGTGGGTCCAACGGGGAGGTGGGAGGAGGTAGGACTGGACATCCCTAATTTTACCTCCTTCAGGTCTGCCTGGCACTGGCTGCTTTGAGAAAGGAGCCATGAGGATTTGGGGACTTCAGCCCAGCCCTGCAAGCTCCTCCCAGCTCCGGCAGGGAATGGCCACACAGAACTGCCAGGCTTCTTCTGAGCCACGTTTGCACCCCGTCCTCTGTCGTGCCGGGGGCTCCTTAGCTTCAGTGGAGGACCCCATAGCCTGGATCTCTCGTCTCATTTTTTGGGATGACGTTGGCTGTTAGTTATCTGTAATCCCACCCCTCCCTACCACTGCCACTGGCTGAGCTTGCTCTTCTGCCCAGTGCCTCTCCTCTTCCTCATCTTCCCTTCCCCTCGGTGCCCCCTTCCTTTGATCCTTCCCACCCAACCCCCTACACTTGGCAGCCCGAGCTGCAGAGTCCACTCTGGCACTAGTTCCAGCCCTGCCCTGTCGACCTGGTCCGGGTGGCTTGCTCCCAGCTTCAGTACAGACCTAGACTCCGGCCCCACATTCTTAGTGCGCCCAATCCCCATGGCAGCCAGGCCCCCGTAGCACTGACCAGTTTCTCTTGTTCCTCCTGATGCTTCTTCAGCTGCTCCAGGAGCTGCTGAAACTCCTCCTCTCTCTGCTGCTCCTCCAGCATGGTAGCATCGTTTTGCTCGGCGTAGGCCATCGCTACAACAGCCAGGATCAGGTTGATGAGGTAGAAGGAACCAAGGAATATGATCACCACAAAGAAGATCATGTACGTTTTCCCAGCGGCACGGAGGGTCTGTGGAAAGAAGAGGTATGTTCCATCACAGAAGGTCAGACCACTAGCCTATTTACTCTCTAATTGCTAGGCTACCTGCCTAGCATGCGTCTGACAAAGTGGGTATTCACCCACGAAAGCTTATGCTCTAATACTTCTGTTAGTCTTAAAGGTGCCACAGGACTCTCTTGCTTTTTTACAGATCCAGACTAACATGGCTACCCCTCTGATATTAGGCTACCTTAGTGCCTCTTCCTAGTGATGGGTGTGGGTTTGAGTCACCTTCTCCTCACATAACTGAGAGGACCTTACTTCCAGCTAGCCCTCACCTCATCGCTTATGCTGCGGTGAGTGTCAGTGGGTTGTGAGTTATGCTACAATCCCCAGAAACCTCAGCACAACTGGGCTCTCCTCTGGCATGTGCACTGGGATGGCATGCATGGTGCTTCCACCACAATTACAGCAGTGGTCTGAGGGATGGCTGTGAATGAAAACAACAGATCCTCATGCTCCTGAGGGGCTGAGAAGTCGAACCTGGATATGGAGAGCAGACTCTGATCATCACAACAGGCTCATCCAAATGCCCCTGGCCCTGGGAGGTCTCAGACTCTGGGTACAGATACAAACTGGTGGGCTCAGTAGAACGTGAGTATACCTGTGTGATCTTGCCCTCTAGTGACGCCCCAACAGAGAAGATAGAGGACCTGCTATTCCCACCAGCTGTGAGTCCTCCTTCAGCGCCAGCCCCTGTCCTTGCAACTAAGGGCAAAGGTTGCAGTCCCAGCTCCCAATGTGCCTGGGTGGGACTTATTTAGTGGATTGTGATTATGTCTGTTGTCAACTGTAGCATGTGGACTGGTTACATCAGGCCCAGCTCCATGGAAAATATGCCCCATTGCACTCAGCCAGGTGCTCCCTTCCAGCCCAGATGCTTTTGGATGAATATCTATAAGCAACAAGCTCCCACGTGCTTTACACTGTGTGACCAGAGGCACGTTTTAGATCTCCCAGCCCACAGATGGACTGGACTCTCCATCACCACACACAAAACAAGAGGAAATTAAAAAAAAAAACCTCACAATGACCTTTAATTCAAAGGACCCCTGCCATGTGTGTGGGGACGTGCAATCGAATGCAAGCTATTGCCTCTGCCAGTGGGAAAACCCAAATAAAAGGAAAGAAAGGGCTCACCAGCTGGAAGAGATTCTCCCAAAAGTCCTGAGTCATGAGGCGGAAGAGGGAAAGGAAAGCCCAGCTAAAAGTGTCATAGCTGGTATAGCCATAGTTCGGATTCCTTCCTGCTTTCATACACATGTATCCTTCAGGGCACTTCCTGCCAGAGGGAGCAGAGAGGAGAGGATATGTTAGTGCCGGGTTCAGCCCCTGCCTGGCCCAGGAAGGGTAAGCCAGGGCAAAAGGGAATCTAGTTTTATGTTCAGAAACTCGAGGAGGGTGCAAGGTGCAAAGGGCCCAGTTTTACCTGCACAACCCCAGTGAAGCAAGTGGGCTTGCATAGAGGTGACTCAAGGCCAGATGGAGAAGCATTCAATTCAGAGTCAGATCTGCTCTCACACACATACACATACACACAGCTTGCACCAACACAGCATGCACCAACAGCCATGCACATTTGCAGACAATTAAGCCAAGACTTTCAAAACTGGGTGCCGGGGAAATGGGGTCAGGGTGCGGGGGCTTGCCCCACCCCCCCACCTGGCATGCCTGGAGTTGAGGTGCGGGGGCAGCAGGAGTGTTGGGCAGGTGGATCAGACGCGGGGGAGCCCATTTTTCTGGGTCCCCCCAATTGGCCGGGGCCCCTGGGCACGGGCCCTGTTGGCCCAGTGGCTAATCGACCACTGCCTCACACTCCCTAGCTCCCTCCCAAAAGATGGCTGCTCTAGCTCTTTGTTCATGGTCAGGGCCGGCTCCAGGGTTTTTGCCGCCCCAAGCGGAAAAAAAAAAGAAAAAAAAAAGCCGCGATCGCGATCTGCGGCGGCAATTCGGCGGAAGGTCCTTTGCTGTAAATGGGAGTGAGGTACCGTCTGCCGAATTGCCGCCGAATAGCTGGATGTGCTGCCCCTCTCCAGAGTGGCTGCCCCAAGCACCTGCTTGGCAAGCTGGTGCCTGGAGCCGGCCCTGTTCGTGGTGCTGTCTGGAAAAACCTGACTGTCCACCGCGGCTGTTACAGGAAGTTTGAACAGCCACTAACACATTCTACTGACTTGGCATTTTAATCTGCACAGTCCCAGCAACCGGAGCCAGCAACATGAGGTGGTGCCATTTGAAGAACTTGTCTTGCTTGCACTGTCACTCCTGTTTCAGGAAACGGGCAGAACTTCCATGAGACTCCAGTGGATGTCCCGGCAGCATTTTCTGGCCCACTAAAGAGCTAATGATGGAGCAGGAGGAGGACACAGACATGGCTGATGCTGCTCATGACTCTTGGCATAGCTGCTGCTGAAGCAGGGTCACAAACACGGACTGGTGGGATCACATCACCATGCAGTTTGTGAGCAGCTTGCCCTGCCCCTCCAGCATAAAGACATGCATGAGGCAGGCCACGCCGGCCCAGAGGTGGGTTGTTATACCTGTCTGGAAAGCTGGCTACACCAGACTGCTATAGGGCCATTACTAACCAGCTTGGTGTTGGAAGGTCGGCTGGGGGTAAAGTGGTGGCAGAAGTTTCTGAGGCAGTCAGGCATGTGAATTACTCCCAACGTGGAGTTATTGCTGACTTTGAGAGAATGGGGTTTCCAGACTGCACTGGGGCCGTTGATGGGACTCATGGGCCCATAGTTTGTCCTCCTCAAGAAGCACACGAGGACATGAACTGCAAAGGGTATTGCTCCATTGGTATGCAGGCCCAGGTGGACCACAGACTCCAATGGATGCCAGCGTGGGCAGCACTGGACAGGTCGTGATGCCAGGGTTTTCCGCCTATCGGGGGGCTACATTCAAGGACAGGCTGGGACACTATTCCCACCAAATGACATTGTCAAAAGTGGAGCTACTGTCTCCCCTGTTTTCTTGAGGACCCCACGTGCCCCCTTTTGCCTTGGCTTATCAAACTGTCCCCTGATCTCAGAGGCCCTGGCAAGAGGAGGTTGAATGACATGCTCAGCCGGCGTCGAATGTGCTTTTGGAAAGCAGCCACATATGCTACCAAAGTATTCAAACGTATGGCGACTGAACAGCACACCTACGAGCGGAGTGGGCTGCTCAGCTACCAAGTGGCCCTGGAAAATGCGCCTTTCCCGAAATGGGACTGCCTATCTGGAGTTCCTGCTATGGGAAAAGTTAGCAGCTATCAGCACCCGGGATTGGGTCAAAAGTCATGAGGGAATGAACAGGATGCTGCGTTAGCATACACATGGCTCAGAGCTTCCTCAAGGCTTCCAACATAGCCTGTTATGACTGGATGCAAACACACAGACCTGCACTGCCATCGCCCTTACATCCCCTCTGGCACATTTCTGGATTGAATTCAAACCCCCAGTCGTATTTGGGAGAAATGATTTCGTCATCCATGGATGGCATGGACTGCATTTAACAGAAATGGGTGAGATTTGAAAATGGATTACAATTCGACCGCCCCTGACGCCAGTTCACTGTTTGGGTGGCTTGTCACGCCGGTGGGGTGCGGTGGAGCAGTGTGCATACACGGAAGGCAATTTTATAGAATCATAGAATATCAGGGTTGGAAGGGACCTCAGGAGGTCATCTAGTCCAACCCCCTGCTCAAAGCAGGACCAACCCCAACTAAATCAGCCCAGCCAGGGTTTTGTCAAGCCTGACCTTAAAAACCTCTAAGGAAGGAGATTCCACCACCTCCCTAGGTAACCCATTCCAGTGCTTCACCACCCTCCTAGTGAAAAAGGAGGTCCTAATATCCAACCTAAACCTCCCCCACTGCAACTTGAGACCATTACTCCTTGTTCTGTCAACTGTTACCACTGAGAACAGTCTAGATTCATCCTCTTTGGAACTACCCGTTGAGCCCGATGATCTAGCCAGTTTTCTACCCACCTTATAGTCCATTCATCCAGCCCATACTTCTTTAACTTGCCGGCAAGAATACTGTGGGAGACCATATCAAAAGCTTTGCTAAAGTCAAGGAATAACACATCCACTGCTTTCCCCATATCCACAGACCCAGTTATCTCCTCATAGAAGGCAATTAGGTTAGTCAGGCATGACTTGCCCTTGGTGAATCCATGCTGACTGTTCCTGATCACTTTCCTCTCCTCTAAGTGCTTCAGAATTGATTCCTTGAGGACCTGCTCCATGATTTTTCCAGGGACTGAGTTCCCCGGATCCTCCTCCTTCCCCTTTTAAAAGATGGGCACTACATTAGCCTTTTTCTAGTCATCTGGGACCTCCCCCGATTGCCATGGGTTTTCAAAGATAATGGCCAATGGCTCTGCAATCACATCCGCCAACTCCTTTAGCACCCTCTGATACAGCATATCCGGCCCCATGGATTTGTGCTCATCCAGCTTTTCTAAATAGTCCTGAACCACTTCTTTCTCCACAGAGGGCTGGTCACTTCCTCCCCATACTGTGCTGCCCAGTGCAGCAGTCTGGGAGCTGACCTTGTTTGTGAAGACAGAGGCAAAAAAAGCATTGAGTACATTAGCTTTTTCCACATCCTCTGTCACTAGGTTGCCTCCCTCATTCAGTAAGGGGACCACACTTTCCTTGACTTTCTTCTTGTTGCTAATATATCTGAAGAAACCCTTCTTGTTACTCTTAACATCTCTTGCTAGCTGCAACTCCAAGTGTGATTTCACTCCTGCATGCCTGAGCTTTATACTCCTCCCTGGTCATTTGTCCAATCTTCCACTTCTTGTAAGCTTCTTTTTTGTGTTTAAGATCAGCAAGGATTTCAACGTTAAGCCAAGCTGGTCGCCTGCCATATTTACTATTCTTTCTACACGTCGGGATGGTTTGTTCCTGCAACCTCAATAAGGATTCTTTAAAATGCAGCCAGCTCTCCTGGACTCCTTTCCCCCTCATGTTATTCTTCCAGGGGATCCTGCCCATCAGTTCCCTGAGGGAGTCAAAGTCTGCTTTTCTGAAGTCCAGGGTCCGTATACTGCTGCTCTCCTTTCTTCCTTGTGTCAGGATCCTGAACTCGACCATCTCATGGTCACTGCCTCCCAGGTTCCCATCCACTTTTGCTTCCCCTACTAATTCTTCCCAGTTTGTGAGCAGCAGGTCAAGAAGAGCTCTGCCCCTAGTTGGTTCCTCCAGGACTTGCACCAGGAAATTGTCCCCTACACTTTCCAAAAACTTCCAAGATTGTCTGTGCACCGCTGTATTGCTCTCCCAGCAGATATCAGGGTGATTAAAGTCTCCCATGAGAACCAGGGCCTGCGATCTAGTAACTTCTGTTAGTTGCCGGAAGAAAGCCTCGTCCACCTCATCCCCTTGGTCTGGAGGTCTATAGCAGACTCCCACCACGACATCACCCTTGTTGCTCACACTTCTAAACTTAATCCAGAGACTCTCAGGTTTTTCTGCCGTTCATACCGGAGCTCTGAGCAGTCATACTGCTCTCTTACATACAATGTAGCTCCCCGACCTTTTCTGCCCTGCCTGTCCTTCCTGAATAGTTTATATCCATCCATGACAGTACTCCAGTCATGTGAGTTATCCCACCAAGTCTCTGTTATTCCAATCACATCATAGTTCCTTGACTGTGCCAGGACTTCCAGTTCTCCTTGCTTGTTTCACAGGCTTCTTGCATTCCTGTATAGGCACTTAAGATAACTCGCTGATCGTCCTGCTTTCTCAGAATGAGACAGGAGTCCTCCCCTCTTGTGCTCTCCTGCTCGTGCTTCCTCCCAGGATCCCATTTGCCCACTTACCTCAGGTCTTTGGTCTCCTTCTCCCGGTGAACCTAGTTTAAAGCCCTCCTCACTAGGTTAGCAAGCCTGCTTGCGAAGATGCTCTTCCCTCTCTTCATTAAGTGGAGCCCGTCTCTGCTTAGCACTCCTCCTTCTTGGAACACCATCCCATGGTCAAAGAATCCAAAGCCTTCTCTCCGACACCACCTGCGTAGCCATTCGCTGACTTCCACGATTGGACGGTCTCTACCCAGGCCTTTTCCTTGCACAGGGAGGATGGACGAGGTTTAAGGTTGTTATTTTTAACAAACCAGAATGTCCTAAGAAAACGTGCACCTTTCTAGTAAAACTTCACTTTTCATTGCTTGCTTTCCTGTTTGTGTTTCCTGAGCTCCATGTTGAATTCCATGTGGTGGGAGGGAGGTGGGGGTGCCAATGTGCTGGCATGCCATCTGCCATTAGCGGATACAGGATGCTACCCAGGGCTTGCATTGGTTCATGGACTGGAAATCCCTCCCATTTCTAATTCCTATTTGAATAAACACCAAAATGGAGCCAGAAGTTTGCCAGCGGCTTCTGCCTCTTCACTTTCTGCAGCCAGTTCTGCAGCGGCCATTTCTCCAGGGCAGAGGGGGGCATCAAAAAACTCCTCTCAGCGCGGCCCCAGGATGTGCTGCAGCTGCTCCTGCGGCACAGCCTCCTCTGGGGCCGGTTTCGTCAGCAGAGTCACTTTGTTTGCCTTCTTCGGCAACTGCTGCTGGCTCCCCTCAGTTCCCATGTTGGATTCTGGGGCCAGCAGATCGCCATGCCGTCTGACCAGGTCATCCTGCACTGCCAGGGGCTCCGTGCTGGGTGCAGTACCTCCCAGAGCCCGGGCTCCAGTCCACACCCAAATATGTACCCCGCAATCTCCTAGCCCCGCAGCCCGAGCCAGACTCAGCTAGCCTGGCCAGCCGCGGGTGGTTTATTGAAGTGTAGACATACTCTGAGTGGCCGGATATTCAAGAGTTGAGCACTCAGCAATTCCCACTGACTTCCCGGGAGCTGCTGAGTGGACAGGACGTTTGAAAATGTGGCCACTTACTTAGGTATCTAGTCAGGATTTATGTCCAAGATTTTCGCAAGTGACTAGTGATTTGGGGTGTGTCATCTTGGGGGTGCTCAATCTAAGGTGCCCCAAGGGGCTTGATTTTCACAGGGCAGGTGCTCAGCACTTCCTGACAATCAGGCCTCATGGGGCTCTGGGCACAGACCCTCACTTTAGGCATCTAGGGCTGAAAACCTCAGCTCCAGCTCTTACCAGGTGGCTACTGGTCCATTTGAGTCATTTCACAACAGCCAGTCGGGGAAAGACGGGAGACTTGACAGGCCAGAATTCACACCCACCGCCCCTCCCACCAAAAACAGTTTGTCAGTCTCAGCATATTATAAACCGAAAACCCTGTGCTCGGAACAGGCCTGGGGCTGAACTGCCTAGAAGAACCTCTGGGGAGTGACAGGGCGGAGGTGTTCTCCAGCACCGATGGCAGGAGGCAGAAGGAGGCCGCAGCTGCCTATCTAGCTAGCATCTGGGCTTCCCCTTTCTCCCCATCATATTCCCCTCCCCCCCACCCACCCCAGTCTGTGCCGTCATTTCCTGTGCTACCCTGGGGGATCTGCATTCACCAACCAGGTATACCCGCAGGGAGGGTGAACAGGGCGGGCAGAGACCCGCAGTTTGGCCAATAGCTCTTCAGACACAGAAGAAGAGTCAGCCCCCAGGCACGCCCAGCAGAACCTCCCACAGGGTCATTTCTCAGGGGGAGGTACAAATACATCAGATTCCTTTTCCCTCCCGGTAAAGAAGGCATCCCCCGGCAGTGGGGGCACAGCTGGCCTAGGGGACCCTGGAGCCCAGAGGGGTGTGCCTGTGCATCAGTCAGCACTTCTATCGGCATGAAAACTCTTCATCCCTGTGAGGAGTGCTGGGAGTCAGCAACCAAGCCAGCTCTCTGGTCACTGTCTAGCCAATGAGGCCCCCAAGGAGGGCCTCATTAAGGAGAGGAGCTCCTGATTACCAGATCAGATTGGGGCTGGGTAGCTAATGAGCTAATTAGCTTGTTAACAAGGAGACTGGGTAAAAGAGCCCAGGAAGGAAGCGCAAGGGGGTGGGGAAGCAGAAGAGGGAGAGATGCAAGGGTAGCTGGGGCCTGATCCAGGAGATCTCTATGTGGAGAGACCTTTTCCCATCCCCGTCCCTTGGGAGAAGGGCTAGTCAAGCTGAATGACTGCACATAGGATGGCTGTGCAAGGTGAAGCACTGTCAGTAAACTACACGGTGGTGTCTACAAAGGAAGGTCTCTGAACGGTCTGTGGGAGAGCAAAGGAGACGGGAGCAGAGGGTTCCCCTCACAATCCCCAAAAGATTTGTGCCCAGACGTACAATGGGAATTCGTGCCCACAATCCTCTTCTCCAAACTCACACCAGTCACTTCTCGTTGGCTGGTCCGGCTGGGTGCTATCCCTAGACTAAGCCACGGCTGGCCTCTTTGTTTCCCTCCCCAGGGGCCGCCCAGGTCTGTCTGTGCCAGTCAGAACAGACCCCACTCACCCGGCGTCGCTGCTGTTCCCGCAGAGCAGAGCATCCAGCGAGCCCTCCAGAAAGTAGAAATTCCCTTTGCAATTCAGGAAAAAAGCAAGAAGTGAGAATTGCAGACGTTGATTTGCACATGTTTGTTTATCATTTGCAATTCTTCAACAAATGGCTAATTGGATTGTGTCCCAGCACAAAGCATTCACCACAGCTATTGCTTCCTATATTTGCTATTTCTAATGTGCTAATTTGCATAGGTGACCTTAGTCACACGGTTTTGTTTCACTTGCCCAACTGGCTGACTCCCAAACCCAGCGACAGCTCTAGAGACAGCCAGCAAGAGTGGCCAGCGTGAATGCTTGTGTGAATACATGTTAACGTTCTCTTTCGCGCAAACCAAGGCTCGCTGGTGTGAACATTCACGGAAAGGGACTGAAAAGCCTGAAGAAAGGCCAGCGCCGTGGCTCTGTGGGTTTTCAGCTGTGTGAATTTTTGCACATGCCCTGCTGGGAAATTGTGGAAAATAACAAACACTCTCAGGCCAGCACCAAACTGAGCCCACTACGAGACCGGGAATGCATCAAGCTCATTCGTCTTTGATGTTGCCAGTGACCCACCCAGACAAGAACCACAGCAGCTGCTGAGACATGGCAAAGAGGGAATTTCATTTCATTTATGGAGAACATGCCCCTGGGGTCAGGCCCTTCTGGCGGGTGCGGATCAGCAGCCTGAGCCACCTGCATGGAGAAGCAATGAGTACCCCGCCTTGGGTGTTACTGATTTGGACTTTGCCCTCTGAATGGCCTGGAGGGACCTATCTGGATCCTGTTCTGTGCATCCCAATCAGTGATTCCTTCCCAGCCCCAATGCTTCTATTTAACTAACCAGTGGAGTGTTGAAAAGCCACCCCACATATGGCATTTCAGGCCAGGATGTGTTGCTCTGGTGTGAGCAGCTGTTAACCTGAATGCATGGTCAGAATGTGTCGCTGCTGTTTGCATAGATCTCAGTCGTTCGTGGATATTGACTTTAACTCCCCTGTTAAGGAGCCTTCTTGTGGTTAACCTCACAGCCACTTATGCCGTTGGAATAAAGCACCTCAGTCAGCATGTAACATGACCTGCCGCTGAGTTCTGCTGAGTGCTCTAAACAAGATGTGAAACACTCCAGCCAATACCTATCCCGCTGCAGCGTTACTTGGCAGCGACAGGCTGACTAGCAGCTGGTTCTGCCTCTTGTATAAATGTGCCTGCACTGTGGAAGGACCCTGGATATGGAAGCAGTTTCAGAATTCTCTCTTCACTTTTGGTGTGTGTCTCCGTATTCAATAAAGGGTTCTGCCCTTTTGTTTTAAACGCTTTATTTTTTGCCAAAACATTTTGATTTTCTCAACATTTTCTGGTTTTGGACAAAAATATTCATTTATCGTTTTTGGATTCTACCTCCAGCTTTTGATGTTTGTGGCCAATTTTGATTCGTCATTGGCTTAGTCACATGGTGCAAAATTTTCCAAGGATGGTGGACAGTCCTGGATGTTGATTGGCTTAGGAGTGGGGCTGTGAATAGTGGCCAATCCTGGACATTGATTGGCTGAGGAGAGGGGCTCTGAATGGTGGCGAGGAGTCAATCAGGTTGTTTACTTGGGCACATTTTAACAGCAGAGAGAAGGCACACAAGTATTTACCTTCATCGTTGATGTAAGAATCCCAGTCAAAAGTCCCATTACTCAACCCAGTTGTGTTGCCGTAGAGAGTTGAGTTAGCGAACGTGTCATTGTCCATTCCAAAGAAGTCCTCTTGCAAAGTATCATTTATAGGGGGCGGCCACCTGACACATTTTTGCCGAAGGTTCCCCATGAACAACTGAAGGCCAACTAGTGCAAAAACACTCAGACAGAAGACGGTGAGAATCATGACATCAGAGAGCTTCTTCACGGACTGTACCAAAGCTCCAACAATTGTCTTCAGCCCTGAGGAGGGAGACATTATTATTGGTGTAGTTATTAATTTGTTAATCATCGATAATGTTCTAATGTTGCTATGGAGCTCATGCGTCCCATAAGAGTTGCCCAGTGCCCTAACTCCAGCAGAACCTGGATTTCAGTGTAAGGCAAGACCCCTTCCCATAAAAATTCACCTGCCCATGGTGCAATGCTATTATCCAAAGGGTTGGAAATAAAGTGGGGTGAAAATTTTCTGCCAACACTTTTTTTTCTGGCACAAAATGCAGATTTGGCAACACCAAAGTGTTTTGCAAATTGTTTCAGATAAAACCCGCCCCGCCCCAAAAATAAAAAAAAATGAAAACATTTTGTTTCAACATTTTTAAAATGAAATTTTTCAATTTTTCAGTTCAAAACTTTTTGTTTACAAATTTCCTTAGGTTTATATAACAAACAATTTAAAACATTTTAAAATGGTCAAAATCAAAACATTTAGATTTTGTTAAAACAAAAAATCAGAAATGATTTTTTGGACTATTCAGTTCACCAAAAATTTCAAAAAATGTCATTTTCTATTAGTCCTAAAATGTTTTTTTCCTGAGTTTTTGGAATTGCCAGTGAACTGAAAAATCCCTTATTCACAGAGCTCTGTCAGTTCTTTCCTGACCCTGCTAGACACCAGCACATGCCCTGACACATTAATTACGCCGTGTAATGAGGCCTGCTGCCCCTGAGGTTTTGAATCACTCTGTGCCCACAAATGGTCCTTTTGATGTGCTAGATCACACAAAAGAACAGGTTTCAGAGTGGTAGCCATGTTAGTCTGTATCAACAAAAACAACGAGGAGTACTTGTGCCACCTTAGAGACTAACAAATTTATCTGGGCATAAGCTTTCGTGGGCTAAACCCCACTTCATCAGATGCATGGAGTGGAAAATACAGTAGGAAGATATATATACACAGTACATGAGAAGATGGGAATTGCCTTACGAAGTGGGGGGTCAGTTCTAATGAGACAATTCAATTAAAGTGGCCAAACTGGACAGTCTCTATGCAAAAGAATAAATGGGCACAAATCAGATGTCAAGAATTATAACATTCAAAAATCAGTCGGAGAACACTTCAACCTCCCTGGACACTCAATAACAGACTTAAAAGTGGTGTGGCAAACCCAGGGCAAACAGCTACAAAGGGGGTAGTAATCAGTCCCAGGGGGTTAAAAAGGCCTCTCCCAAGCCACTGAGGAGAGAGAACCATGGGGAAATAAGGTTCAGCTGGGCAAGGGGTTACTAGGGAACTAATTAGGTTCAGCTGGCTCCAACTGCTTGGGACCTTTTTAAACCCTCCCTGGCGTGGAAGGGGGGGGAAAGAGAGAGTGAGAGAACCAGGGAAGCTGCCAGGAAGTTAGGAGCAGCAAGGCTCTGAACCCTTCCTGCAAGGAAGGCTGCACTCTGTCCCCAGAAGGGAAGATAAACAAGCACAAGGGGCTGACTGAGAAAAGGAATAGCCAAACCCTGTGCTACCTGCAAGGATTTGCCTTGCCCAAGCCTGTGTCTCCAAGGCTAAAAAGGACTGAGCCTGCTGAGGAGAAGAAGGTACTTTGCCACACGTGGTGTCAGAAGTGGGATGTTGTGAGGTGTTGTGGCAAGCCATCTCAGGGCAAGGTAAATCGCACACACACACCAACACAAAAAAAAAAAAAAAAAAAAAGATGGAGGACGTAGTGAAGGCGTTGATTCAGGCCACTGCGGCCCAACAAGAGGCTACCAGAGTACAGATGACAGCCCAGCAAGAGTCAGTACGTGTCCAACAGGAGACAAACCAATTGCTGATGAACCAGGCGGCCCAAGATCGAGCCACCCTGAATGAGGTAGTGAACCAGTTGAAAGCCCTGACCGCGCTGACGCATGGGCCCCAGGGGACCCGGCCCCTACGCGCAAGCAACTATTTACAGAAGATGACAACGGATGATGATATAGAGGCGTATCTCCTTGCATTCGAGAGGACGGCACTGCGGGAGGCTTGGCCCCAAGATCAGTGGGCAGGCCTCCTGGCTCCATTTCTGTGTGGGGAGGCTCAGAAGGCCTATTTCGATATGACCACAGAAGCAGCTATGGATTACCCCCAGCTGAAGGCGGAAATCCTGGCGAGGTCTGGGGTGACGCCGGCCATAAGGGCCCAGCGCTTCCACGAGTGGAAATACCGGGACGACAAAGCGCCGAGGTCCCAGCTATTTGACTTGATCCACCTCGCCCGGAAGTGGCTCCGCCCTGAGACCCATGGGCCGGAGAAGGTGGTGGAAATCCTGGTGTTGGACAGGTACATGAGGGGGTTGCCGCCGGGCGTACGAGGGTGGGTCCACCAAAATGATCCCTCCTCGTATGATGAGCTAGTTGCCCTCGTAGAGAGACACTTAGCAGCCCAAGAACTTTCTCGGACCCCCGGGGAAGGAAGGCGCCAGAATCGGAGACCAGTCTCCGTACCGAGGCCCCGGTTTGCCCTAGCACCAGGCCCGACAATGGAGGGGAGGAAGGAGGCAGAAGAGCAGCCCGCGGTCCCGGAGAGACTTGAGGACTGGGGGAGAAAGACTCGAGAGATAAAGCCCAGCAGCCCGAAAAATAGGGGGCTGCCCCGAGCGGGGTACCGATGTTATGCCTGTGGCGAAATGGGGCATATCGCTGCCCAATGCCCGAATCTAGGAGAGCCTATGCAATGCGAACTGGGAGATATAGGGGGACCATGTGATCTAATAAGTCTAGTCGGGGTTGCGATGGTCCCTCATAGATACACTAGGCCAGTTAAGATGAATGGTATAAAGACCACAGCCTTAGTAGACTCGGGAAGTGCAATCACGTTAGTCTCGGGGAAGCTGGTCGGGCAAGACCAACTATCCCGGGCCAAACGCTCGGGAATATCCTGTGTGCATGGGGATGTCAACTATTATCCAACCATCCCCGTAAAAATAGAAGTTCTCGGAAGGCCCACTAGGGTGACGGTGGGAGTAGTTCCAAAACTCCCCTACCCTGTCCTTATCGGACGAGACTTCCCAGGGTTTGATACCCTACTCCCTGGGGAGGAGGTAGAAGAAAATAATGACCCTGGGACCCAGGGCGTGGCCCAGATCGTTAACCCTCCCCCGGCCTTCCATGAATTTAGCCAGGATTTGTTCTCCCCGCCGGGGAAGTCCAGGAAGACTAGGCGGGAACGGAGGGCGGATAAAAGGAGGGGGACGAGGGTCCTGGCCCAGTGCCAGAAGTCTACGCTTGTAGGGGAAAGAAGGGGCTCGACTGACAGTGGGACTGGGTCGGCGATCAACAACCCTATCGCCGGACCTGGTTCCCCAGGGGCTTTCCCCGAGGGGGAGACGGAGGTAGACCCCCCCGAGTTTAGACAAATGGGGACTGCACGCGGGAATTTTGGTCAGGATCAGGCCAATGATCCCATATACCACAATATTCTCAAAGAAGTAGTCGAGGTAAATGGGGTACCCGTGGAGGGGAGAGTTAAGGGCGCGGGGCCATATTATATGATTAAGAATGACCTACTATACAGAATAGTCCGGGTCCAAGAGCAAGTCATACAACAACTCTTGGTCCCACGGAAGCATCAAAGAGCCGTAATGGAGCTGGCCCACAGCCATCTGTTCGGGGGCCATCTCGGGGTAGATAAGACCCTGGATCGGATTCTACAGAGGTTTTTTTGGCCTGGTGTTTATGTAGCGGTCCGGCGATATTGCACATCCTGTCCAGAATGCCAGATACATGGGCCCCGACCCCACTTAAGGGCCCCTCTGGTACCTCTCCCGATTATCGAGGTCCCATTTGAGCGTATAGCTATGGACATAGTAGGGCCATTGGAAAAGTCAGCCCGGGGCCATCAATACATTCTAGTAGTACTAGATTATGCCACCCGATACCCCGAGGCCGTACCCCTACGGAATACCACGTCCAAGACCATCGCCAAAGAATTAGTCCAGATTTTTTCCAGAGTAGGAATACCTAAGGAGATCCTGACGGACCAAGGGACCCCCTTTGTGTCTAAGCTGATGAAGGACCTGTGTACAATGCTCCACATACGGACCCTTAGAACATCGGTCTACCATCCCCAGACCGATGGCCTGGTCGAACGCTTTAATAGGACATTGAAGAACCTGTTACGGAAAGTGATTAGTCGTGACGGGAAAGACTGGGACGCCCTGCTGCCTTACTTGCTGTTTGCCATACGGGAGGTACCTCAGGCTTCCACTGGATTCTCCCCCTTCGAGCTGTTATACGGTCGCCACCCCAGGGGCATACTGGACCTGGCTAAAGAAGACTGGGAAGAACAGCCGAACCCTGGGAGAAACGTGGTTGAACATGTGTTGCAGATGAAAGACAGAATAGCCCAAGTCACCCCCCTTGTGCGTGAACACATGGAGAAGGCCCAAGGGGCACAACGGACAAACTATGATCGCCGAGCAACGACCCGGAAGTTCCAGGTGGGGGACCGGGTGATGGTGCTCATACCCACGGCCGAGAGCAAGCTCCTGGCCAGGTGGCAGGGGCCGTACGAGGTAATAGAAGCGATAGGAGAAGTTGACTATAAGGTCCGACAGCCGGGCCGCCGGAAGCTGGAGCAGATCTACCATATAAATCTGCTGAAACCTTGGCACGATAGAGAAGCTCCGGTGGCTGCGCTGGGGGCGCCATTCCCTAAAAGCAACCAGCCCGACCTGGTGGGGATATCCCCGGAGTTGACTCCGGAACAGCGATCAGAAGTGATCAGCCTGATCAAACGCAACCAGGATGTGTTCTCTGAAAAACCGGGCAGGACTACGGAGGTTCACCATCACATCCTCACGGAGCCTGGAGTGAAGGTGAACGTTAAGCCATACCGGATCCCAGAGGCCAAGAGAGAAGAGATTAGGACAGAGGTCAGGAAAATGCTGGCCTTAGGAGTCATTGAAGAATCTCATAGCCAATGGTCCAGTCCCGTGGTTTTAGTGCCTAAGCCAGACGGCAGTATGAGGTTCTGCAATGACTTCCGCAAACTCAATGAGGTGT